AGGTATGTATATATAAAATTATTCTATATATACTTATATCTATCAGTTCTTTCTCTGGGTATACTTAGCATCTTTCTTTATATGGCTTGTAGAGTTACTTTGGGTATTTATAATAGACAAAATAACTTATTTGCTGAAAGTCATTCTTAAAACAATATTGCGGTTACTACATACAATGTTCATTTCTTTTTAAAAATTAATTTATTTGTTTTTAATTTCCAACTTTCACTTCTGCAAGATTTTGAGTTTCAAATTTTCTCCTTATCTCTACCCTCCACCCCACTCCAACATGGCATAAATTCTTATTACCCCTTCCTCCCATCTGCCCTCCCTTCTATCATAACCTCCCCTTTCTCTTATCTCCTTCCTCTTCTATTTTCCCATAGGATAAGATAGATTTCTATACCCCATTGCCTGTGTATTTTATTTACCAGTTACATGTAAAAACGATGTTTAACATTTTTTTAAAAAACTTTGAATTCCAAATTCTCTCCCTTCCTTCCTCCTCACCCAACCTCTCTGAGAAGTCAAGCAATTCAATATAGGTTACACATGTGTAGTCATGCAAATCACATCCTTAACAATAATGTTATGAAAGACTATATTTCCCTCCATCCTATCCTGTCCTCCACCCTCACTTATTCTATTTTCTCCTTTGACCCTGTCCCTCCTCAAAAGTGTTTGTTTCTGATTACCCCCTCCTCCAATATGCCTTCCCTTCCATCACCCTACCTCTTATCCCCTTTCTCTCTACTTTCCTACAGGGTAAAATAAGTTTCCATACTCAAGTGATTGTGTATGTTATTCCCTCCTTAAGCCAAATCCGATTAGAGTAATGTTTACTCACTTCCTCTCACCTCACCCTTTGTTCCCCTCCGCGGCAAAAGCTTTCTCTTGCCTCTTTGATGTGAGATAATTTACCCCACTCTACCTCTCTCTTTCTCCTTCTCCCAATACATTCTTCTTTCACCCCTTAATTTTATTTTTAGATAGCACCCTTTTGTACTTAACTCACTCTGTGCCCTCTGCTTATATATATTCTGCAAGTACCCTAATAGCAAGAAAGGTCTCATGAGTTACAAATATCATTGTTCCATACAGTAATGTAAACAATTCTACTTTAATACATCCTTAATTATTTCTCTTTCCTGTTTATCTTTTCATGCTTTTCTTGAGTCTTGTATCTGAAAGTCATTTTTTTCTACAATATAGCCAAATTCCAGAGTTCCCAGGTCAAGGAGAAAATATTGCAAGCAGTCAGAAAGAAACAATTCAAGTATTGTGGAACCACAGTCAGGATAACAGAAGATTTAGCAACTTCTACATTAAGGGACCGCAGGGCTTGGAATATAATATTCTGGAGGAATTATTTTCTTCAGTGAGCTTTTGGGCCTTCTTTTCAATTTGGCCAAATCTACTTTTTAAGGCATTCTTCTCCCCATTGGCTTTTTGGACCTCTTTTGCCATTTGGTGTAGTCTATGTTGTAAGGTGCTATTTTCTTTAGCATTTTGGGGGGATTTCCTTAAGTAAGCTGCTGACTTATTTTTCATGATTTTCTTGCATCACTCTTTTCTTCTCAATTTTTCATCTTCTTCTCTTACTTGATTTTCAAAATCCTTTTTGCGTTCTTCCACGGACTGAGACCAATTCATATTTTTGTTGGAGGCTTTGGATGTAGGAGCTTGGATTTTGTTGCCTTCTCAATATATATTTTGGTCTTCCTTGTCACCACAATAAGATTCTATACTCTGAGGTTTTTTGTTCTGTTTGCTCATTTTCCCAGCCAATTACTTGACTTTTAAACTCTTTTTGTTAAGGTAGGAATCTGCTTTAAGTGTGGAGAATGTACTGTCCCAAGCTTCAGGGGTTTTGTGCAGCTATTTTCAGAGATACTTCTTGGACCTGTAAGTTTTCTGTTCTTCCAAGGTGGTATGATCTAAGGATAAGTGTTTACTCCTCTCCTGGTCTGTGCTCTGCTCTTTGAGTGACCACAAGCAATCGTTTCTGGCCTGGAATTGTAAGGAGGGTTCTCTCTCCACTGCTGGCAGAAGCCCTGCTATGCCAGTGTTCCTCCTTGCCGCAGTACTTCCACCCAGGAATGCAACCCAGATCCAAATGTGGACAAAGCAACAGAATCCTGCCTGGGTACCAGCAAAGAGCCCCCTGCAATCTCCTTTTGATCAGGTGTTCTATCCCCTTACCATCTGCATGTTGAGAGCACTGGAAGCCAGCACTGTTGCTGCCACTGCCACTGCTACCACTGCCACTGCCACTACCACTGTCACTGCCCTGTGGCCGTGGCTGGACTGCAGTCATCTTTTACCCAGGTCTGACAGACCTTTCCTACTGACCTTCTAAGTTGTTTTTAGCATTTGTGGTTGAGAAGTCTGGAAACTGCCACAACTACCAGTTATTCAGTCCCCTGAAGCCTACTCCAGGCTGCTGGGCCCTTGTTTGTGCTGGAATGCTTTCCTGAACAGCACTCCTCTCCCAGCCTGACATAAATTTCATGAGCAAATAAACATTGTCTCTTGAGAAGTAAGAGGCAACAAAGACATGTGGGCAGGAATACCTATCCTTAAGTGTGTTCCTCTGGATGAGCCCAGAAAAAGCACTATCTCTCCATGCACATCTCCTGGCTCCCAGATCTGTGCTGGCTATTTCATCATCATAACTCTGCTTCTTCTTTCATGGCTGTGGTTTTTTGAAGCTTTGCTTTCTCACTCTCCTACTCTACTGTTTGTTGGGGCTACTCTCCCTGGGTTCCTTCTCCTTCTCTTGGGTAGCTTCTCTCATGCTGGGGACTAATAAGAGTTTACCTTACCCTAGCTTTCATGAGACTTGCATCATCACCTTCCTTTAGAAAGAGAAGGAGGTTGCTTGTCAATGAAGTTCTGGCCACATCAGTTCAGAGCCAGGGAAGTTTTCCAGGGGATCAAAAAGCTGGGAGGTGGAGGGAGGCACGTAACATTGATTGTGGTTTTTGTTTGAATCAGCAGCCATTGCTTTCCAGAGACCATATTTTCTTCATAATCACAAAGGGCATTAGTAATAGTAGTAGCAAAATGTAAGGTCCTTGAGGGCAGGGTCTGTCTCTAAGCTATATTGCACTCATAGCACAAAGACTAGCACATCACATTTAATATGTACTTGCTATTGTTTTCTCTACTGGTGTATCTTAAATGTTGTTGTTTTAGTTCTTGCTGTTATGTGTCTTACACTTAGGTTTGGTTCTGTTGGTTTATTGTAATTTATGTAAGAAATCATATTTCAATGAGGTGTAGAGCTGAACAAAAGAATGGAGCTGGAATCTTTGGCAATACCTGGTTGGCTTGTTGACATATACTATTCTAAGTATGACAGCCAAGGCACTAGCATTCAAAGAAAGTATCTGCAAGTAATGAATGGGCTGTAGTGAAACTTTGCAAATAAATTACAATTTTCTTAAATAGAAACAAAAATAGGCAAGGAAACTGATAGCAAAAGAATGAAACTTGGTTAAACCTAGCTTGGATGATCAAGACAACCCTGCATAACAACTCTCTCACATCCAAGGGGGATTTTTGACAAAGGATAGTGATGATATAGGGATAGCCTGGATAGGATGATGTCTTTGGTCATCATAGAGAAGGAGAAGATAAGAAGTTCTGCACAATCTCTAGCCAGTTGAATTAGATCTTGAGAAAGAACATTCTTGTAACTAAGACAAATCACCTTGGACAATGAAGCAATCTAGATGTGCCAATGTCAATCAAACCAGATATTGTGCCCCTAAGGATTTAACCTTTTCATTTCCAAATCTCCTATTCTGATTGTTGAATGCCTCATAGGGCCCACTATATCAGGTCAGCTCTAGTTATGGTTCATTTTACTCTCTAGCCATCTGTTCAACATATACCTTGCTGCTGCTTGTATAGCTTCTACAACATCTTTCCTTCCCCTGTCTAATTCTTTAGCCATAATTGATTCAATACTGCCATCGTTTTTGGAAAGGATGTGCCATTGTATTCCCTTATGCCTCTACTCATCACCCTTGTTACTTTCTGAACCAAAATACCCCTCTCTGGCCATAATTCCCCTTTATTTGTGCTCTTCCTGTGTCTGCATGTAAACTCCTTTAGGGCAGGGACTATGGATATGATTAGATATGTTTGCATCTGTTATTTGGTATGGCTTTACTTTTGTATTTGTATCCCTAGTTCTTGGCTTTTAGGAAGTACTGAATAAATGCCTTTTAATTATTTCATTCATTAATATCTTAAAGTACAGATCTATATCTATATTTATGTATATGTATATGTATATGTATATGTATATGTATATGTATATGTATATGTATATGTATATGTATATGTATATGTATATGTATATGTATATGTATATGTATCTCTATCTCTATCTCTATCTCTATCTCTATATCAATCTATAGAGATTGATATAGAGATAGAGATAGAGATAGAGATAGAGATAGAGATAGAGATAGAGATAGAGATAGAGATAGAGATAGAGATAGAGATAGAGATAGAGATAGAGATAGAGATAGAGATAGAGATAGATAAAATTGTAAACCCAAACCTCTAAAGTATATAGCAAAGGCCGTGACTGGGCATGAAGGATAATAGCTTTATTTCAGGGAAGGGCTTATTCATCTCAATACCTGAAACCAAGACACTGACATAGGTACCAAGAATTCCAAGTAAAGTGGACTTTATTTAATATATTAGCATAATCCAAAGCCAGCCTCACCCACTAAAAACATTTCAGAAGAGAAAGTAATCTTTGGCTCCTCATGGCCCCCAGTGCTAAAGTTTTGTTTCCTTCCCTTTATGAGACTGATATACGGCTATTTCTGTTTCTGTTTCTTTTTTTTTCCCTCCACCCATGCTGAGAAGCTCTCTGACCACCAAAGGACCAGGCATCTATGCCAAGTGAAACAAAAATCTCTTGCCTTTGAGGTCTACTGAAGCCTCTTTACTATGTAATGGCAGACCTCACCAGATTAAAGCTCAACGTATTCTCTCTTCACCCCAGCTGTCTCCTTTGATATGACCTCAGTCCAAAATTCTACTTCTTTCTCCTTCAGATTTTTGGCTGCTTTGGGGGTGATGTTAATTTGGAGGCAACCTTCATTCTGATTATAGCCAGGCCACTTTGGCAGTCCTTCCCCATTAGGGTTTCTGAAAAAAAATTCAATATTTTAAAAATGAAAATACTCATTGAATCAGTGGTGGTGGTTAAAAAAAAAAAAGGAGAGATACCTACAAAACATACTAAAGGAAAAATCCCTAGTAGCTCCCCTGTGTTACCAGTCTTACCCATTCTTAGCAAAGTTAGCCGAGTATTTCATCACAGTCCTGCTAAGTTTCTTCTCCTCCTCTGATGAGTCTGCTGAAAATGAGAATTGAAGATATTAGAATGTGACTAGAATATTTTTAGGCATAAAATTGGGAGCTATATGCTCAGTGCCCATCTCATACTCCTTTCACACCTACTCCCACTTGTGAGTTTTCCCATACTCCTGCACTTTACAATGTTGCATACATCCTGGTGTGTCCTGCCCAGGTATTGCTATGACCCAATACCTCTTTATTTCTTTAACTTTTTTTTTGCTAATCCCACCAAGATTTTACCTTTCTTTTCTCTAGAAGTAATTTTAAGAAATAATCAAATAACATCTAATAGATGCCATGTCATGTGCATATGTATTTAAAGAGAAGGAACCAATTGTAAAGGAATTAGTCTCTAATGGTGGAATTTCAGGGATAAGCAATAGCTTAGCAGGAGAGAGATTTTGGAAAGGAGAATGAATACTAATAAATAGTATCAAGGATCATAAAATTTTACTTACAGGAACCATCTAGATCTTTGATAGTCAAAGGGCCATACTTGAGGACCTAGAGGGCCACATGTGGCCTTGAGGCTGCAGATTCCCCACCCTTGGCCTAGGACCCCTCCCCTTTATTTTGTAGATAATGAGGCTAAAGAGTAAGTGACTTGTCCAAGGTCATATATCTAATAAGCAGCAAAGCTTAGATTTGATGTCTTCTTAGGTCTTCTGACTCCAAATCCATTTGTTATGTTACACCACTTCCAGCTTGTATCTAAGGCCTAGGGATCCATTGTGTTAAACATTAAACCTCAAAGCCTTTGCTGAGAGTAGCAATTAAAATGTCAAGGTGGTCTGCATTCAGATTTTCTCTCAGAGGCGGAAATATGTAGAAATCCTCAGGAAGCCCAATAAAGGTGGCCAGAACTGGCTGTGCTTGAAAGGAAAATGGGCATCCAGTGCATAGAGCAGGGGTGGGGAACCTGCGGCCTTCAGGCCACAAGTGGTATTATACCTCCTTAACAAACTGCTTTGTTCTGTAAAATTTGGATTCAATCAAAAGGCCACACTTAAGTATCTAGAAGGCCACATGTGGCCTTCAGGCCACAGGTTGCCCAACCCTGGGTTAGACCAAAACCCCTAGACGCAAGGGTTGCTGTTACATGGCCATCATATAAATTAACCTTGAACACACTGATTAGCATTTTGATTCTGTGGCACAGAGACTCCTCTAAAGTATATCTTTCCTGTGTCCATGTTACTATGAGGAGCCTCTAAAGCAGGGCAGACTATCAGTGAAAGCTAGGCCCAAGAGGTAGAGCTATGTGAATACTCTAGTGACAGGATATAAGCTTATTTTTTTCTTCGACCCCAAGTGCCTACTTCGGTGCCCAGACCTTCAATAAATGCTTATTGATTTATTGATTGTTCATGATATTCTTTCACCGAGAATGCTCTCATAATTGGAATTAGAATTAAGATGAACTTTGGATGAAGGATACCTAGTCCATCCAATCCTCAACAGGAATCCCTCCTACAACATTCTTAACAAGTGGCCATTCAGCCTTTGCTTTGTTGTGGTTGCTGTTGTTGTTATCATTTCAGTTATGTCCAACTCATCAAGAAGCCATTTGGGGTTTTCTTGGCAAAGATGCTGAAGTAGCTTGCCATTTCTTTCTCCAGCTCATTTTGCAGATGAGGAAACTGAGACAAATAGAGTTAAGTGACTTACCCAGGGTCACACAGTTAGTAAGTATCTGGGTCAGATTTAAATTCAGGTCTTCCTGACTCCAGGGCCAGTGCTCATCTACTGCACCACCAAGCTGCCCTCAGCCTTTGATCTCATGAAACAGAAGGACACTCTGGGACATTTCTAATTATTAAGAAATTTTCTTCACATCAAGCTGAAGTTCATCTCTCTCTATAACTTTCATGCACAGCTCCTAGGTCTACCCAAGCAGAGCAAGGTTAATTCTTCAAATCCTTGACAAAGCTGTCCGATCCTGCAAAGTCTTCTCCTCTTCAGGTTAAATATCCTGTTTGTTTCCTTCAAGCATTGCTCATATGACAAAGTCTAAAGGCCCCTCACTCTCCTGGTTCCTTTCCCCTGGATGTTCTACAGCTTGTCAATGTCTTTTCAAAATATGGTACCAGACCTGAACGCAATATGCCAGATACCATCAAAACAAAGAACATTATAAGAATATTATCATCTCACTAATTCTATACACTACGATTCCATCAGTTTAGCCCCAAATGCCATTTACTCCTTGTGGTAAGAAGAAACCCTTGTTCAGTGATGACACATAAAGCTTAGGATACATTGCCTAGTGAAAGAATCCTGGGAAGGGGCGTAGGGAGCCAAAAGATCTTCATTTTAGTTCTGGTTCTGCCACTAAATTTAGGGAATGCGTGTCATTTCTCAGGGCCTGTTTCCTTATCTGGGGGGAATAGCTAATAACCATTCCCATTTAAGAAACTTTAATTGCTTTCTATCATGTCCAAGATCAATATAAAAATCCTTTGTTTGGCATTTAAAACCTTCATTGCCCAGCCAACTCTTAGCTTTCCAGTTTCTTTTATACCTAAATCTCCCCCCACTCACCCACCCCTGTTTTCTCTATGATCCAGTGACACTGACCTCCTTACTGTTCCTTGCACAATACCATCTCACCCAACAGTGCATTTTCACTGACGGTTCCCCTCCCATAATTTAAATTCTCGCACTCCTGATAACTGCTTTGGCTTCACTGGCTTCCTTCAAGTCTCAGTAAAAATTCCACCTTCTGAAAGAAGCCTTTCCTGCTCCTCCTTAGTCTATGTGCTTTCTCTCTGAGATGATTATCTGTAATTTACTCTATCTGTCCATCTATCTATCTATCTATCTAGTTTGAATATAATAATTTGCATGTTGTTTCCCCTATGAAACTGTTAGCTCTTTGAGAGCAGGGGCTGTCTTTCACCTTACTTTACATCCTTCCATCTCCATGCTCCCCTCAGTGCTCAGCACAGTGCCTGGCACATACTAAGTACTTAAATTCTTATTGACTTCACTTGATTTTCTGCTTCATAGGAGATGCTGTGAGAATCAAGTGAGATGATTGGTAAATTAAAAGGGTTAAGGAATTGTTTAAGTTAAATATTATTTTCCAAATAACCAGTAAGTAATATTTTGATAAGGTTTTTATAGCAAGAAGAGATCAATCACCTTTCAAAAATGGAATCCCAGGGGCAGAGGCAAGATGGCGGAGTGAAAGCAGTGACTTGCTTGAGCTCTCCTCCAAACCCCTTCAAATACTCATAAAAAATGGATCTAAACAAATTCTGAAGCAGCAGAAACCACAAAAAAACAGAGTGAAACAAATTTACAGCCCAAGACAACATGGATGATTGATCAGAAAGGTGTGTCCCGCCGGGCTGGGAGCACAGCGCAGCACAGCATGGGTGCGCAGGCTGCAGCAAACCTGGAGCAGGCCTCAGAGGACTGAATGACGGGCAGCTGTGGAGGTTTCCAGACTCCTCAATCCACAAATGCCAAAGACAACTTAGAAGGTCAGTGGGAAAAGTCTGTTTCTGTGGTGCCTGAGAAAGGAAGGCGGCATTTCAGCTCCATTCCCTAAGAGCGTGGCCCTGTGGGGGGCAGCTGCTTCCCGAGCTTCCGGCCCACAGACTGAGGGGGAATCCAGTGGCTGATCAGAGAGGGATTGCAGGGATCTCTTTGCCAGTGCTGAGGCAGGAATCTCTTGCTTTGCCCATGTTTGGATCTGGGCCACAGTTCTGGGCAGCGGTGCTGGGGTGAGGAGGAGTGCTGGTGTGGTGGAGCTTGTAGTGATTGTGGAGAGAAGGCCCTCCTCACAGTTACAGGACAGAAAGGAGTACTTATAGTCGCAGGCCAGGAAAGGAGTAAACACCTGGCCCCTTATCATACCACCTTGGAAGAACTGAAAATTTACAGGTCCCTACAAGTATCTCTGAAAACAGCTGTACAAACCCCCCGAAGCTTGGGACAGTACATTCTCCACATTGGAAGCAGATTCGTACCTTAACAAAGAGTTTAAAACTCAAGTAATTGGCCGGGATCATGAGCAAGCAGCACAAAAAGAGTCAGACTATATTATCTTACTTTGGTGAAAAAGAAGACCAAAATATACAACCAGAAGAAGACAACAAAGTCAAAGCCCCTACATCCAAAGCCTCCAAGAAAAATATGAATTGGTCCCAGGCCATGGAAGAGCTCAAAAATGATTTTGAGAAGCAAGTTAGAGAAGTAGAGGAAAAACTGAGAGTGATGCTAAAGGAGACCCAAAAAAATACTGAAGAAAATAACACCTTAAAAAATAGCCTAACCCAAATGGCAAAAGAGGTCCAAAAAGCCAATGAGGAGAAAAATGCCCTAAAAAGAAAAATTGGCCAATGGAAAAGGAAGTCCAAAAGCTTACTGAAGAAAATACTTCCTTAAAAATTAGAATAGAGCAATTGGAAGATAGTGACTTTATGAGAAATCAAGACACAGTAGAACAAATCCAAAAGAATGAAAAATTAGAAAACAATGTGAAATATCTCATTGGAAAAACAACTGACCTGGAAAATAGATCCAGGAGAGAGAATTTAAAAATTATTGGACTATCTGAAAGCCATGATCAAAAAAAGAGCCTAGACATCATCTTTCAAGAAATTATCAAGGAAAACTGCCCTGATATATTAGAACCAGAGGGCAAAATAGAAATTGAAAGAATCCACAGATCTCCTCCTGAAAGAGATCCCCAAAGGAAAACTCCTAGGAATATTGTAGCCAAATTCCAGAGTTCCCAGGTCAAGGAGAAAATATTACAAGCTGCCAGAAGGAAACAGTTCAAGTACTGTGGAAACACAATCAGGATAACACAAGATTTAGCAGCTTCTACATTAAAGGACCGTAGGGCATGGAATATAATATTCCGGAGGGCAAAGGAGATAGGATTACAACCAAGAATCACCTACCCAGCAAAACTGAGTATAATCCTTCAGGGGAAAAAATGGTCATTCAGTGAAATAGAGGACTTTCAAGCATTCTGATGAAAAGACCAGAGCTGAATAGAAAATTTGACTTTCAAATACAGGACTCAAGTGGAACATGAAGAGGTAAACAGGAAAGAGAAATCATAAGAGACTTATTAAGATTGAACTGTTTACATTCCTGCATGGAAAGATGATATTTATAACTCATGAGACCTTTGTCAGTATCAGGGTAGTTGGAGGGAAAAAATTATATGTATGTATATGTAGATAGACAGATAGAGGGCACAGGGTGAGTTGAAGATTAGAGGGTCATATCTGGAGAATAAAATTAAGGGATGAGAGAGGATTATATTAGGAGAAGAAGAAAGGGAGAGGTAGAATGGGGTAAATTATCTCACAAAAAAAAAACAACAGAAAAGTCTCTTACAGTGGAAGGGGAAACAGGGGAAGGTGAGAGGGAATGAGTGAATCTTATTCTCATAGGATTTGGCTTAAGGAGGGAATAACATACACATTCAATTGGGTATGGAAATCTGTCTTACCCTACAGGAAAATGGGGGGGGGGAAGGGGACAAGAGAGCAGGGGAATGATAGAGAGGAGGGCAGATTGCGAAAGGGGTTAATCAGAAGTAAATACTTCTGAGGAATACAGGATCAAAAGAAAGAATAGAATAAATGGGAGGGCAGGATAGGATTAAGGGAAATAGAGTTAGTTTTTCACAACATGTCTACTATGGACGTGTTTTGCATAACTGCACATGTACAACTTATATTGAGTTGCTTGCCTTTTCAATGAGGGTGGGTGGGGAGGGAGGAAGAGAGAAAATTTGAAACCTAAAGTTTTAAAAACATATGTTTAAAAAAAATGTTTTCACATGCTCTTGGGAAATAAATATAGGAAATGGGGTACAGAAGTCTATCCTGCCCTACAGGAAAATAGAAGGGGAAGGGGATAAGAGAAGGGGAGAGAGATAGAAGAGAGGACAGAGTAGGGGAAGGGATATTCAGAATGCATGCCATCTGGGGGTGGGGGCAAGGGGGAGATGGGGTGAAAATTTGGAACTCAAAAACTTGTGGAAGTGAATGTTGAAAACTAAAAATAAATAAATTTATATTAAAAAAAAACAAAAGAAAACAAAAATGGAGTCCCAACGACATAAAGAATTTCATCCCCATGGTCTGCCTTCACTGTCTCTGGTTTCAGGTTGGTTGAGAAGTTTGGCCAATGCTGAAATTCATACATGTATGTGGGTGCACCTGATGCTGAAAGAAAGAAGAGTGGAAAATTCAGTATATCAAGTTTTCTACCTCAGATATACTTACTTGCAAGGGAGTCCCTACAGGATGCTTGGTAAATACGAAAGAATTTTGCTCTGAGTTCTTATGTTAATTTAATTAATAGGGGACCTTAAATTCTGGGTATATAAGAGAACTAGAGGAGCTGACAGAGATATACAGAGTGATAGCTGGTACTGATAGACATAATTTTCCTAATGTTGAATACCATCTTCAATTCAGTAAAAGATCTGCAGCCTTGATCACAGAATCTTAGTTGTCCAGGACCATTTAGTCCAGTCTTCCCTCATTTCCATCAGATGGTTCCTTATTCCTAAGCACATGGTAACATTATTATACCCCAAGATGAATTAAAGTTCCACAGAAGTTCATAGCCGAAAGAAACCTCAGGAGCTTTCTAGTCCAGCCTATCCCTGAAAAAGAATCCCACAACAGCCTAACCAACGCATGAGCAACCATCAGCTGCTTGAAGACCTTCAGTAAGGGGACACCACTACTTTTCATGACAGCCCATTCATTCCACTAGTTTATAACTCTGAGTAGGTTATCTACCTATATATAAGCAGTTCTTTTTTTTTACATTAAACCTAATATTCCCTTTTTGTAATCAATCCCTTACTCTCAACTCTTCCCTTTGCAGATACACAGAACAAGCTTAATCCTTGCCTCCCCTCCTCCACCAAGATACCTCTTTAAATACTTGCAGAGAGATATCATGTATTTCCTGAACCTTCTCTTCCCCAGGATAAAATCACCAGTTGTTTTTTTTTAACTTATTTTCACATAGTTTAGATTTGATTTATTTCACAATGTTCATTGTCATTTCTGGAATGTTCTCCAATTTATTAATGTCCTTCCTACTGTGGCACCCAGAAATGAACACGTACTCTACGTATGGTATGACCAGCACAGAATATAATGGAATTAAACGTTCTGTTAACTTAACCAGGCCCTCATTTCATTAAGGCAAACATTCTTTGTCTGGATTCTGTTGATTCATTATCCCAACATTCTTATCTCTCCTCAAGCCTCCCACACATTCATCTGAAGACCTTGACTCTGGCTTCACTGAAAAATATTGAGAATATTTGTCAGGAGCTCTTCCCTTCTCCATTTCTTCTTATGTCTCACATCACTTGAAAATCTCCTTCCACTTCTCCTTCACTCTGCTCTCAGATGAAGAAGAGGTTCTTCTTGCCATGGCAAATTCCTTTACATGCACCCTTGATTCCACTCCTTCAAAATTCTCAAGCAAATTGCCTCCTACTTTTATCCCCACTCTCATCTTCCAATATGTCCATGTCTCTCCCATCCTTAAAAACTAAAATCTCATGCAATCTGATCATTCTCAGTAGCTATCATCCTATATCTGTCTACTCCTGCATGACTGAAGTCCTTGAGAAAGAAGACTGCAATCAATGCCTCCATTTCCCTTCCTTTCATTCTTTTCTAAACATTGTACAATCTGGCTTCCAACCTCATGATTTAACTGAAACTGCCCTTTCCGAAGTTCTGAATGTTCTCTCAACTACCTATGAGAACTGGCCTTTTCTCATTCTTGATCTTCCTTGCTATCTCTATAGCATTTGACACTGTTGATTGTCTTCTTTTCTTGGAAAACGTCTTCTCAAGGTTTTAGTGACACTGCTGTCTTCTAGTTCTTTATATCTGACTGTTCCTTCTTATTCTTCTATGCTGGTCACACTGACTAGCTTTGTGGCCTTGGGGGAATAACTGTAATATCTGACCCTGGAGTTAATTGGTAGTTGCTGCAGTTTACTGAATAGGGAGATTACCTAGTCAGACCTATAGTCTAGGATAAGTACGCTATATCACAAAAGCAACATATTAGGACGTCAAGAATATATAAAAATAAAATATATCTATACCTTTTTTTAATCTAGAATTTTCAATGAATCAAAGCAAACTAATGGATTCACAATCTGAAATTCTAGTGTGGCCTATTTAGGTCAAACAGTGTCCTGTGCTCAAAAGCTGTTCCTGTCCACTACATCAAAAAACATATTGCCCTGTGTCCTAATAAAAAATAGTAGAATCAGAATTTGAATCAGATTCTCTGAACCTATTACTCTTTTCTGAAATTATTTTTATATTTCATTAAATATTTCCCAATTGCATGTGAAAACATTTTAACAGTCATGTTTTAAACTTTTGAATTCCAAATTATCTCCCTCCTAACCTTCCTCCCTCCATGAGAAGGGAAACACTTTGATTTTGATTACATATGTGAGGTCATGCAAATATATACATTTCCATATTAGCCATGTTGAAAAAGGAAACACAAACATAATAAAATCATGAAAATAAAGAGAGTTTAAAAAGTATGATTCAATCTGCATTCAGAGTTCATCAGTTCTTTCTCTGGAGGTAGATAACATTTTTCTTCAATTACTTTAGAATTGCATTGGATTATTGTCTTGATCATAGCAGCTAAATCTTTCACAGTCTATCATCTTTATAATATCGCTGTTACTGTATGCAATGTTCTCCAGGTTCTGCTCACTTCAGTTTGCATGAGTTCTATCCCTTCAATTTCTATTCTTTGCCACCACACAAAGAGTGGCTATTATTATTTTTGTACAAATGCACCATTTTTCCTTTTCTTTGATCTCTTGGAGATATAGACCTAGTAGTGGTATGGCTATATCAAAGGGCACACATAGTTTTATGATCTTTTGGGCATAGTTCCAAATGGTTCGCCAGAATAGTTGGACCAATTCACAACTCCACGTACAGTGCATTAGTGTTCCAATTTTTCTACGTCCTCTCTAGAATTCATCATTTTGTTTTTCTGTCATGTTAGCCATTCTGGGGATGTGAGGTGTCTTAGAGATGTTTTAATTTGTATTTCTCTAATCAATAGTAATTTAGAGCATTTTTCTTGTGACTATTGATAGCTTTAATTTTTTTTCTTCTAAAAATTGCCTATTCATATCCTTTAACCATTTATCAATAAGAGAATGAATCTCATTTTTATGAATTTGACTCAGTTCCCAATATATTTGAGAAATGAGACCTTTATCAGAAAAAACTAATTGCAATTTCCTTCCACTTTCCTCTTTTTCTTCTAATTTTGCCAGAATTAGTTCTGTTTATGCAAAAGCTTTTTAATTTCATGTCATCAAAATTATCCATTTTACTTATTGCGATCCTCTCTGTCTCTTGCTTTGTCATAAACTCTTCCATTATCCATAGATCTGACAGCTACACTTTTTGATGCTCTCCTAATTTACTTAGGATATTACCCTTTATGTCTAAATCACCTATTCATTTTTATCTTATCTTGGTATAAAGTGTAAGATGTTGGTCTATGTTTACTTTCTGCCAAACCGCTTTCTAGTTTTTCCAAAATATTTTGGTCAAACATTGAGTTCTTGTTTTATCAAACACTAGATTACTATAGTCATTTACTACTGTGTATTGTGTATCTAATCTCTTCTATTTATCCTCTACTATTTTTTTTATCACATACCAGATTATTTTAATCATTACCATTTTGTAATATAATTTGAAATCTGGTACTGGTGGGCTGCCTTCCTTCACATTTTTTTTCATTGATTCTCTTAATATTCTTGACCTTTCATTTTTCCAGATGAATTTTGCTACTTTTTTTTCTAGCTCTACAAAATAACTTTTGGTAGTTTGATTTGTACAGTACTGAATAAATAAATTAACAGGTAGAACTGTCAGGTATTGTAGCCCAATAATTCTTAAATTAGCTCTCCTCAATATATTGTCCAGGTCAGGTACCTTTCCAAATACATATTTTACCTTTTCTTCCATTTTTCTATTCTTTTGAATTTGTTTTAAAATTGTTTCTTGATGTCTCATGGAGTCATGAGCTCTCTTTGGCCAATTGTAATTTTTAAATAATTATTTTCTTCAGTGATATTGTGTAGCCTCTTTTTCCATTTGGCCAATTCTACTTTTTTTAGGCAATTGGGGTTAAATGACTTGCCTAGGGTCACACAGCTAATAAGTGTCAAGTGTTTGGTCTGAGGCTGGATTTGAACTCAGATCCTACTGACTTCTGTTCTATCCACTGAACAACCTAGTTGACCTTTCTTTAGGTTATTTTTCTGCCTCTTTTACCAAGTTGTTAATTTTCCTTTAATATTTTTCCCTTTACTTTCATTTTTTTTACCTATCGTCTTTCTCTACCACTCTGATTTTGAAAAAAAATAGATTTTCAAGAATTTTTGTTGGGCTTATGTCCAATTTACATTTTTCCCCTCTACAGCTTTGCTTGTAGTTATTATGATTTCATTGTCTCTTCTAGATTTGTGTTTTGATCTTCTGTATCACCTTAGTAGCTTTTTATGGTCAAGTCCTTTTTTTGTTGTTTGCTCCTTTTTCAACCCTATTTCTTGATTTGGAATTTTTTGTTAATGTTGGGCTCTATTCTAAGCATGAGAGTTGGGATGTGCTCTTTTTCAAACTTCAGGCTTTTTCACACTACTGTTTTCATAGCTAGTTCTGGAATTTGGGGTGCTTTCAAGGTGGTATGATCTGGGGAGAGGTGTGGTAGTTGCCATCTTGGTCTGCACCTTTCTCTTACCCAGGAAGGGCCCCTAATCCCTTGGTTTTACAATCAATACTGATCCTCAGGGCCCCTCCTTCCTTGGGACTAGAAACGATACTGCATGTCTCGGTCTCTGATCTCTTGGGGCCAAAAGTGATAGTGACTCTTAGGGCCCCCAATCGCTTTTAGCTAAGAATGCTCCTCTCTGCCCCTTGAACTTTGGCCCAGAAGTGGGTATGTGCGATGGAGTTGCCAAGCAACATCTGGTCCTGTATGTAGTGCTACCATAGAGGTACCATGCAATCTCTTACCGTTTGCCAGATCCCCTTACCATCTCTGGCTTGGGATATCCTGAAGCTGCTGCTGCTTCTGTCTCCAATACCTAGTCCAACTGGTAGTGTTTCATCCACATGGTCTCCAGGCC